CTCTAGCAGTTCAAGGTCTAGCAGTTCCAGCTCTAGCAGTTCAAGCTCTAGCAGTTCCAGCTCAAGTATTTCAAGCTCTAGCAGTTCAAGCTCTAGCTGTTCAAGCTCCAGCAGTTCTAGCTCTAGCAGTTCCAGCTCTAGCAGTTCCAGCTCTATCAGTTCAAGCTCTAGCAGTTCACGCCCTAGCAGTTCAAGCTCTAGTAGTTCAAGCTTTGGCAGTTCCAGCTCTAGCAGCTCCAGCTCTATCAGTTCAAGCTCTCTTGGTTCCAGCTCTAGCAGTTCCAGCTCTAGCAGTTCAAGCTCTTGTAGTTCAAGCTCCAGCAGTACAAGCTTTGGCAGTTCCAGCTCTAGCAGCTCCAGCTCTATCAGTTCAAGCTTAAGCAGTTCCAGCTCTAGCAGTTCAAGCTCATGCAGTTCATGCTCTAGCAGTTCCAGCACTAGCAGTTCCAGCTCTAGTATTAAAAGCTCTGTCAGTTCAAGCTCTCCCGGTTCAAGCTCTAGCAGTTCCAGCTGTAGCAGTTTCATCTCAAGTAGTTCAAGCTCCAGCAGTTCCAGCTCTAGCAGTTCCAGCTCTAGCAGCTCCAGCTCTAGCAGTTCAAGCTGTAGCAGCTCAAGCTGTAGCAGCTCAAGCTCTAGCAGTTCCAGCTCAAGCAGTTCGATCTCTAGCATTTCCAGCTCTAGCAGTTCCAGCTCTAGAAGTTCAAGCTCTCTCAGTTCAAGTTCTCCCGGTTCCAGCTGTAGCAGTTCGAGCTCTAGCAGTTCAAGCTCTTGCAGTTCAAGCTCCAGCAGTTCAAGCTCTCTCAGTTCAAGCTCTCCCGGTTCCAGCTCTCGCAGGTCCAGCTCTAGAAGTTCCACCTCTAGCAGTTCCATCCCTAACAGTTCACGCTTTGGCAGTTCCAGCTCTAGCAGTTCAAGCTCTAGCAGTTCAAGTTCTAGCAGTTCAAGCTCCAGCAGTTCCAGCTCTAGCTGTTCCAGCTCTAGCAGTTCAAGCTCTAGCAGTTCCACCTCTAGCGTTTCAAGCTCTAGCCATTCAAGCTCTTGCAGTTCAAGCTCTAGCAGTTCCAGCTCAAGTAGTTCAACCTCTAGCAGTTCAAGCTCTAGCAGTTCAAGTTCTAGCAGTTCAAGCTCTACCAGTTCAAGCTCTAGCAGTTCAAGCTCACTCAGTTCCAGATCTAGTAGTTCCAGCTCAAGCATTTCAAGTTCTAGCAGTTCAAGCTCTACCAGTTCCAGCTCTAGCAGATCCAGCTCTAGCAGTTCAAGCTCTAGCAGTTCAAGCTCACTCAGTTCCAGGTCTAGTAGTTCCAGCTCAAGCAGTTCAAGCTCTAGCAGTTCAAGCTCTAGCAGTTCCAGCTTTACCTGCTCAAGCTCTAGCTGTTCCAGCTGTAGCAGCTCCAGCTCTAGCAGGTCCAGCTCTAGCAGTTCAAGCTCCAGCAGTTCAAGCTCTAAGTGCTCAAGCTATGGCAGTTCAAGCTCTAGGTTCTCCAGCTCTAGCTGCTCATGCTCTAGCAGTTTAATCTCCAGGAGGTCCAGCTCTAGCAGTTCCAGCTCTAGCAGTTCAAGCTCTAGCTGCTCAAGCTTTAGTAGTTCCAGCTCTAGCAGTTCCAGCTCTAGCAGTTCCAGCTCTAGCAGTTCCTGCTCTATCAGTTCCAGCTCTAGCAGTTCCTGCTCTAGCAGTTCCAGCTCTAGCAGTTCCAGTTCAAGCAGTTTCAGTTCCAGCTCTATCAGTTCCTGTTCTAGCAGTTCCAGCTCCAGCAGTTCAAGCTCTAGCAGTTTCGGTTCCAGCTCTAGGTGTTCCAGCTCTAGCATTTCCAGCTCTAGCAGTTCAGGCTGTAACTGTTCCAGCTTTAGCAGATCCAGCTCTAGCTGTTCAAGCTGTAGCAGTTCATTCTTTGGCAGTTCCAGCTTTAGCATTTCCAGCTGTAGCAGTTCTAGCTGTAGCAGTTCAAGCTGTAGCAGTTCCAGCTCTAGCAGTTCCTGCTCTAGCAGTTCAAGCTCTAGCAGTTCAAACTCTAGCTTCTCAATCTCTAGCAGTTCCAGCTCTAGCAGTTCCTGCTCTAGCACTTCAAGCTCTATACGTTCCAGCTCTAGCAATTCCAGCTCTAGGAGCTCAAGCTCTTGCAGTTCCAGCTCTAGCAGTTCAATGACAAGCAGTTCAAGCTTTAGCTGCTCAAGCTGTACCAGTTCCAGCTCGAGCATTTCATGCTCAAGCAGTTCCAGCTTTAGCTGCTCCAGCTCTAGCAGTTCCAGCTCTAGCAGTTCAATCTGTAGCAGTTCCACCTCTAGCCGATCAAGCTCTAGCAGTTCAATCTCCAGCAGTTCAAGCTTTAGCAGTTCCAGCTGTAGCAGTTCAATCTGTAGCAGTTCCAGCTCTAGCTGCTCAAGCTCCAGCAGTTCAAGCTCTTGCAGTTCAAGCTCCAGCAGTTCAAGCTCTCTCAGTTCAAGCTCTCCCGGTTCCAGCTATAGCAGTTCTAGCTCTAATAGTTCCAGCTCTCGCAGTTCAAGCTCTCTCAGTTCAAGCTCTTCCGGTTCCAGCTCTATCAGTTCCAGCTCTAGCAGTTCAAGCTCTCTCAGTTCAAACTCTCCCGGTTCCAACTCTAGCAGTCTCAGCTCTAGAAGTTCCACCTCTAGCAGTTCCACCTCTAGCAGTTCACGCTTTGGCAGTTTCAGCTCTAGCAGCTGCAGCTCTAGCAGTTCAAGCTCTAGCAGTTCAAGCTCTAGCAGCTCAAGCTCCAGCAGTTCCAGGTCTAGCAGTTCCAGCTCTAGCAGTTCCAGCTCAAGCAGTTCAAGCTCTAGCAGTTCCACCTCTAGCAGTTCAAGGTCTAGCAGTTTCAGCTCAAGTAGTTCAAGCTCTAGCAGCTCAAGCTCTAGCAGTTCAAGCTCTAGCAGTTCAAGCTCTAGCAGTTCCAGCTCAAGCAGTTCGATCTCTATCAGTTCCTGTTCTAGCAGTTCCAGCTCTAGCAGTTCAAGCTCTAGCAGTTCAAGCTCTCTCAGTTCAAGCTCTCCCGGTTCCAGCTCTAGCAGTTCTAGCTCTAGCAGTTCAAGCTCTCTGAGTTCAAGCTCTGCCGGTTCCAGCTCTAGCATTTCTAGCTCTAGAAGTTCCACCTCTAGCAGTTCCACATCTAACAGTTCACGCTTTGGCAGTTCCAGCTCTAGCAGTTCAAGCTCTAGCAGTTCAAGCTCTAGCAGTTCAAGCTCCAGCAGTTCCAGCTCTAGCAGTTTCAGCTCTAGCAGTTCAAGCTCTAGCAGTTCCACCTCTAGTGTTTCCAGCTCAAGCAGTTCAAGTTCTAGCAGTTCAAGCTCTAGCAGTTCCAGCTCTAGCAGTTCCAGCTCTAGCAGTTCAATCTCTAGCAGTTCAAGCTATAGCAGTTCAAGCTCACTCAGTTCCACCTCTAGTAGTTCCAGCTCAAGCAGTTCAAGCTCTAGCAGTTCAAGCTCTAGCAGTACCAGCTCTACCTGCTCAAGCTCTAGCTGTTCCAGCTGTAGCAGCTCAAGCTCTAGCAGTTCCAGCTCTAGCAGTTCAAGCTCCAGCAGTTCAAGCTCTAAGTGCTCAAGCTATGGCAGTTCAAGCTCTAGCATATCCAGCTCTAGCTGCTCAAGCTCTAGCAGTTCAATCTCCAGGAGTTCCAGCTCTAGCAGTTCCAGCTCTAGCAGTTCAAGCTCTAGCTGCTCAAGCTTTAGTAGTTCCAGCTCTAGCGGTTCTAGCTCTAGCAGTTCCAGCTCTAGCAGATACTGCTCTAGCAGTTCCAGCTGTAGCAGTTCCAGCTCAAGCAGTTCAAGCTCTAGCAGTTCCACCTCTAGCAGTTCAAGCTCTAGCAGTTTCAGCTCAAGTAGTTCAAGCTCTAGCAGCTCAAGCTCCAGCAGTTCAAGCTCTAGCAGTTCAAGCTCTAGCAGTTCCAGCTCAAGCAGTTCGATCTCTATCAGTTCCTGTTCTAGCAGTTCCAGCTCTAGCAGTTCAAGCTCTAGCAGTTTCGGTTCCAGCTCTAGGTGTTCAGCTAGCATTTCCAGCTCTAGCAATCGGGCTGCTTTCTTCCTTTAACAGACTCCAGCTCTAGCTGTTCAAGCAGTAACAGTTCATTCTCTGGCAGTTTCCAGCTTTTACTTATTTCAACTGCTTAGCAGTTCAGCTGTAGCAGTTCAAGCTGTTTCCAGCTCTGCTTGATTCCTGCTCTAGCAGTTCAGCTCTAGCTTCTCAATCTCTAACAGTTCCAGCTCTAGCAGTTCCTGCTCTAGCACTAGCTCTGAATCCAGCTCTGGCAATTCCAGCTCCAGGGCTCAGCTCTTGCAGTTCCAGCTCTGGCAGTTCAGCTCAGTTCAAGCTCTGGCAGTTCCACCTCTGGCAGTTCCAGAGTTCTAGCAGTTCAGCTCCAAGTGGTTTCCAGCTCTAGCAGTTCCAGCTCTAGCAGTTCAAGCTCTAGCAGTTCAAGCTCTAGCAGTTCAAGCTCCAGCAGTTCCAGCTCTAGCAGTTCCAGCTCTAGCAGTTCCAGTTCAACCAGTTCAAGCTCTAGCAGTTCCACCTCTAGCGTTTCCAGCTCTAGCAGTTCAAGCTCTAGCAGTTCAAGCTCAAGTAGCTCAAGCTCTAGCAGTTCAAGCTCTAGCAGTTCTAGCTCTAGCAGTTCAAGCTCTAGCAGTTCCAGCTCTAGCAGTTCAAGCTCTAGCAACAGTTCTGGCTCTAGAAGTTCACCTCTAGCAGTTCCACATCTAACAGTTCACTTTGGCAGTTCAGCTCTAGCAGTTCAGCTCTAGCAGTTCAGCTCTAGCAGTTCAAGCTCCAGCAGTTCCAGCCTAGCAGTTCCAGCTCTAGCGGTTAGCTCTAGCAGTTTACCTCTAGCGTTTCCAGCTCTGGCCATTCAGCTCGCGCAGTTCAAGCTACAGTTCCAGGTCCGTGGTTCAGCTCTGGCATTTCTGGCTCTACCAGTTCCACTCTAGCAGTTCAGCTCACTCAGTTCCAGCTCTAAGTAGTTTCCAGCTCAAGCAGTTCAAGTTCTAGCAGTTCAAGCTCTTGCAGTTACAGCTCTAGCAGTTCAGCTCTAGCAGTTCAATCTCTAACTAGGAGTTCAAGCTCTAGCAGTTCAAGCTCACTCAGTTCCACCTCTAGTAGTTACAGCTCAAGCAGTTCAAGCTCTAGCAGTTCAAGCTCTAGCAGTTCCAGCTCTACCTGCTTAAGCTCTAGCTGTTCCAGCTGTAGCAGCTCAAGCTCTAGCAGTTCCAGCTCTAGCAGTTCAAGCTCCAGCAGTTCACGCTCTAAGTGCTCAAGCTATGGCAGTTCAAGCTCTAGCATATCCAGCTCTAGCTGCTCAAGCTCTAGCAGTTCAATCTCAAGTAGTTCCAGCTCTAGCAGTTCCAGCTCTAGCAGTTCAAGCTCTAGCTGCTCAAGCTTTAGTAGTTCCAGCTCTAGCGGTTCTAGCTCTAGCAGTTCCAGCTCTAGCAGATACTGCTCTAGCAGTTCCAGCTCTAGCAGTTCCAGCTCAAGCAGTTCAAGCTCTAGCAGTTCCACCTCTAGCAGTTCAAGCTCTAGCAGTTTCAGCTCAAGTAGTTCAAGCTCTAGCAGCTCAAGCTCTAGCAGTTCAAGCTCTAGCAGTTCAAGCTCTAGCAGTTCCAGCTCAAGCAGTTCGATCTCTATCAGTTCCTGTTCTAGCAGTTCCAGCTCTAGCAGTTCAAGCTCTAGCAGTTTCGGTTCCAGCTCTAGGTGTTCCAGCTCTAGCATTTCCAGCTCTAGCAATCCGGGCTGTAACTTTTCCAGCTTTAGCAGATCCAGCTCTACCTGTTCGAGCAGTAGCAGTTCATTCTCTGGCAGTTCCAGCTTTAGCATTTCCAGCTGTAGCAGTTCCAGCTGTAGCAGTTCAAGCTCTAGCATTTCCAGCTCTAGCAGTTCCTGCTCTAGCAGTTCAAGCTCTAGCTTCTCAATCTCTAGCAGTTCCAGCTCTAGCAGTTCCTGCTCTAGCACTTCCAGCTCTATAAGATCCAGCTCTAGCAATTCCAGCTCTAGGAGCTCAAGCTCTTGCAGTTCCAGCTCTAGCAGTTCCAGCTCAAGCAGTTCAAGCTCTAGCAGTTCAAGCTGTAGCAGCTCCAGCTCAAGTAGTTCAAGCTCTAGCAGCTCAAGCTCTAGCAGTTCAAGCTCTAGCAGTTCAAGCTCTAGCAGTTCCAGTTCAAGCAGTTCGATCTGTAGCAGTTCCAGCTCAAGCAGTTCCAGCTCTAGCAGTTCAAGTTCTCTCAGTTCAAGCTCTCCCGGTTCCAGCTGTAGCAGTTCCAGCTCTAGCAGTTCAAGCTCTTGCAGTTCAAGCTCTCTCAGTTCAAGCTCTGCCGGTTCCAGCTCTAGCAGTTCTAGCTCTAGAAGTTCCACCTCTAGCAGTTCCACATCTAACAGTTCACGCTTTGGCAGTTCCAGCTCTAGCAGTTCCAGCTCTAGCAGTTCAAGCTCTAGCAGTTCAAGCTCTAGCACTTCCAGCTCAAGTAGTTCAAGCTGTAGCAGCTCAAGCTGTAGCAGTTCAAGCTGTAGCACTTCAAGCTCTAGCAGTTCAAGCTCTAGCAGTTCCATCTCTAGCAGTTCAAGCTCTAGCAGTTCAAGCTCTGGCAGTTCAAGCTCTAGCAGTTCAAGCTCAATCAGTTCCAGCTCTAGTAGTTCCAGCTCATGCAGTTCAAGCTCTAGCAGTTCCAGCTCTAGCAGTTCCAGCTCTAGCATTTCAAGCTCTTGCAGTTCATGCTCTAGCAGTTCAAGCTCTCTCAGTTCAATCTCCTAGCAGTTCAAGCTCTGCTTGGTTCCGCTCTACCTGCTTTCAGCTGGCTGTTCCTTCTTAGCTTGGCTCAAGCTCCTGCTGATTCAGCTCTAGCAGTTCAAGCTCCAGCAGTTCACGCTCTAAGTGCTCAAGCTATGGCAGTTCAAGCTCTAGCATATCCAGCTCTAGCTGCTCAAGCTCTAGCAGTTCATTCTCTAGGAGTTCCAGCTCTAGCAGTTCCAGCTCTAGCAGTTCAAGCTCTAGCTGCTCAAGCTTTAGTAGTTCCAGCTCTAGCGGTTCTAGCTCTAGCAGTTCCAGCTCTAGCAGATACTGCTCTAGCAGTTCCAGCTCTAGCAGTTCCAGCTCAAGCAGTTTCAGTTCCAGCTCTATCAGTTCCTGTTCTAGCAGTGCCAGCTCTAGCAGTTCAATCTCTAGCAGTTTCGGTTCCAGCTCTAGGTGTTCTAGCTCTAGCATTTCCAGCTCTAGCAGTTCAGGCTGTAACTCTTCCAGCTTTAGCAGATCCAGCTCTAGCTGTTCAAGCTATAGCAGTTCATTCTCTGGCAGTTCCAGCTTTAGCATTTCCAGCTGTAGCAGTTCCAGCTGTAGCAGTTCAAGCTCTAGCAGTTCCAGCTCTAGCAGTTCCTGCTCTAGCAGTTCAAGCTCTAGCTTCTCAATCTCTAGCAGTTCCAGCTCTAGCAGTTCCTGCTCTAGCACTTCAAGCTCTATAAGTTCCAGCTCTAGCAATTTCAACTCTAGGAGCTCAAGCTCTTGTAGTTCCAGCTTTAGCAGTTCAAGGACAAGCAGTTCAAGCTTTAGCTGCTCAAGCTGTACCAGTTCCAGTTCGAGCATTTCAAGCTCAAGCAGTTCCAGCTCTAGCTGCTCAAGCTCTAGCAGTTCCAGCTCTAGCTGTTCAATCTGTAGCAGTTCCACCTCTAGCCGATCAACCTCTAGCAGTTCAATCTCCAGCAGTTCAAGCTTTAGCATTTCTAGCTGTACCAGTTCAATCTGTAGCAGTTCCAGCTCTAGCTGCTCAAGCTCCAGCAGTTCAAGCTCTTCCGGTTCCAGCTCTATTAGTTCCACCTCTAGCAGTTCAAGCTCTCTCAGTTCAAGCTCTGCCAGTTCCAACTCTAGCAGTCTTAGCTCTAGAAGTTCCACCTCTAGCAGTTCCACCTCTAGCAGTTCACGCTTTGGCAGTTCAGCTCTAGCAGCTCCAGCCTAGCTGTTCGCTCTAGCAGTTCCCCAGCAGCTCAAGCTCTAGCAGTTCCAGCTCTAGCAGTTCCAGCTCTAGCAGTTCCAGCCAAGCAGTTCAAGCTCTAGCAGTTCCACCTCTAGCAGTTCAAGCTCTAGCAGTTCCAGCTCAAGTAGTTCGCTCTAGCAGCTCAAGCTCTAGCAGTCTGCTCCAGCAGTTCAAGCTCGAGCAGCTCCAGCTCTAGCAGTTCAAACTATAGCAGTTCAGCTCTAGCAGTTCAAGCTCACTCAGTTCCAGCTCTAGTAGTTCCAGCTCAAGCAGTTCAAGCTCTAGCAGTTCAAGCTCTAGCAGTTCAATCTCTAGCAGTTCCAGCTCTAGTTCAGCCTAGCAGTTCAAGCTCACTAGTTCCAGTTCTAGTAGTTCCAGCTCACAGTTCAAGCTTAGCAGTTCCAGCTCTACCTGCTCAAGCTCTAGCTGTTCCAGCTGTTGCAGCTCAAGCTTAGCAGTTCCAGCTCCAGCAGTTCAAGCTCCAGCAGTTCAAGCTCTAAGTGCTCAAGCTATGGCAGTTGCTTAGCATTCTTGCAGCTCTAGCTGCTCAAGCTCTAGCAGTTCAATCTCCAGGAGTTCCAGCTTCAGCAGTTCCAGCTCTAGCAGTTCCAGCTCCAGCAGTTCAAGCTCTAGCTGCTCAAGCTTTAGTAGTTCCAGCCTCTAGCAGTTCCAGCTCTAGCAGTTCCAGCTCAGCAGTTACTGTTCTAGCAGTTCCAGCTTTAGCAGTTCCTGCTCTAGCAGTTCCAGTTCTAGCAGTTCCAGCAGTTCCAGCTCCACCAGTTTCAGTTCCAGTTCTATCAGTTCCTGTTCTAGCAGTTCCAGCTATAGCAGTTCAAGCTCTAGCAGGTTCCAGCTCTAGTAGTTGCAGCTCTAGCAGTTCCAGCCTCAGTTCGGTGGGCTGTAGCTCTTTCAGCTTTAGCAGCTCCAGCTCTGGCTGTCTGCTGTAGTAGTTCATTCTGGCAGTTCCAGCTCTACCATTTCAAGCTCTAGCAGTTCAAGGCCAGCAGTTCAAGCTCCAGCAGTCCCAGATCAAGGAGTTCCAGCTCTAGCAGTTCCAAATCTAGCAGTTCAAGCTCTAGCAGTTCAAGCTCTAGCAGTTCAAAATCTAGCAGTTCCAGCTCTTCCAGTTCCAGCTCTCTCAGTTCAAGCTATCCTGGTTCAGCTCTAGCAGTTCCACCTGTAGCAGTTACAGCTCAAGTAGTTCAAGCCCAGCAGTTCCAGCTCTAGCAATTTAGCCTCTAGCAGTTCCACCTCTAGCAGTTCCATCTCTCGCAGTTTGCTTTGGCAGTTCCAGTCTGTCAGCTCCAGTTCTTACAGTTCAAGCTCTAGCAGTTCCAGCTCTTGAGTTCAATCTCTTGGAGTTCATGCTCTAGCAGTTCCAGCTCTAGCAGTTTAAACATTCTCAGTTCAGCTCTCTCGGTTCAAGCTTCAGCAGTTCCAGCTGTAGCAGTCTGGCTCCAGCAGTTCCAGCTCTAGCAGTTCCAGCCTAGCAGCTCCACATCTATCAGTCTGCTCTAGCAGTTCAGCTCTAGCAGTTCAAGCTCTAGCAGTTCAAGCTCTAGCAGTTCCAGCTCAAGCAGTTCAAGCTTCTAGCAGTTCAAGCTCTCTCAGTTCAAGCTCTCCCGGTTTCAGCTCTAGCAGTTCCAGCTCTAGGAGTTCCACCTCTAGCAGTTCCACCTCTAACAGTTCACGCTTTGGAGTTCCAGCCCTATCAGTTCAAGCTCTAGCAGTTCAAGCTCTAGCAGTTCAAGCTCCAGCAGTTCCAGCTCTAGTGGTTCCAGCTCTAGCAGTTCCAGCTCAAGCAGTTCAAGCTCTAGCAGTTCCACATCTAGCGTTTCCAGCTCTGCAGTTCAAGCTCTAGCAGTTCAGCTCTAGCACTTCCAGCCCAAGTAGTTCAAGCTGTAGCACTGCTGCAGTTCAGTCTGCTGCAGACTTAAGCCCCAGCAGTTCAAGCTCTAGCAGTTCCATCTCTAGCAGTTCAAGCTCTAGCAGTTCAAGCTTCTAGCAGTCTGCTCTAGCAGTTCAAGCTCAATCAGTTCCAGCTCTAGTAGTTCCAGCTCATGCAGTTCAAGCTCTAGCAGTTCCAGCTCTAGCAGTTCCAGCTCTAGCATTTCAAGCTCTTGCAGTTCATGCTCTAGCAGTTCAAGCTCTCTCAGTTCAATCTCTCTCGGTTCAAGCTCTAGCTGTTCCAGCTGTAGCAGTTGCAGCTCAAGTAGTTCAAGCTCCAGCAGTTCCAGCTCTAGCAGTTCCAGCTCTTACAGCTTCAGCTCTAGCAGTTCAAGCTCTAGCAGTTCAAGCTCCAGCAGTTCGAGCATTAGCAGTTCCAGCTCTATCAGTTCCAGCTCAACCAGTTCCAGCTCTAGCAGTTCAAGCTGTAGCAGTTCCAGCTGTAGCAGTTCAAGCCTGGCAGTTCAAGCCCAGCAGTTCCCAGCTCCAGCAGTTCCTGCTCTAGCAGTTCAAGCTCTCTCAGTCTGCCTCCCGGTTCCAGCTCTAGCAGTTCCAGCTCTAGCAGTTCAAGCTCTTGCAGCCTGCTGTGGCAGTTCCACTCTAGCACCCTCCAGCTCTCTAGCAGTTCAAGCTCAAGCAGTTCAGCTCCAGGAGTTCAAGCTCCAGTTCAAGGCTCTAGCAGTTCCAGCTGTAGCAGTTCCAGCTCTAGCAGTTCAGTTCTAGCACCCAGCTCTAGCAGTTCAAGCTCTAGCCGTTCCAGCTCAAGTATTTCGAGCTCCAGCAGTTCAAGCTCTAGCAGTTCAAGCTCCAACACCCAGCTCTAGCAGTTCCTGCTCTAGCGGTTCCAGCTCTAGCAGTTCAAGCTCTAGCAGTTCAAGCCCTAGCAGTTCAAGCTCCAGTAGTTCCAGCTCTAGCACCAAGCTCTATCAGTTCAAGCTTCCCGGTTCCAGCTCCAGCAGTTCCAGGTTTGGCAGGTTTCAGCTTAGCAGCTCCAGCCCATCAGTTCAGCTTGGGCAGTTCTAGCACTAGTAGTTCAAGCTTCATGCAGTTCATGCTCTAGCAGTTCCAGCTCTAGCAGTTTCAGCTTCAGCAGTTCAGTTCTCTCAGTTCAAGCTCTCCAGTTCAGCTCTAGCAGTTCCAGCTCTAGCAGTTCCATCTCTGGGAGTTCAGCTCCAGCAGTTCAGCTTCAGCAGCTCCAGCTCAGCAGCTCCAGCTCTAGTGGTTCAGCTCAGCTGTTCAAGCTCCAGCAGTTCCAGCTCTACCAGTTCCAGCTTTTGCAGTTCCAGCTCTAGCAGTTTCAGCTCTAACAGTTTAAGCTCTAGCAGTTCAAGCTCAAGTATTTCAAACTCCAGCTGTTCCAGCTCTAGCAGTTCCAGCTCTAGCAGTTGCTCTCTCAGTTCAAGCTCTCCTCGGTTCCAACTCTAGCAGTTCCAGCTCTGGCAGTTCCAGCCTAGCAGTTCCAGTTCTAGCAGTTCAAGCTCTTCAGTTCGCTCTCTTGGTTCCAGCTCTAGCAGTTCCAGCTCTGGTTCCACCCAGCAGTTCCACCTCTAACAGTTCACGCTTTGGCAGTTCAAGCTCTAGCAGTTGCTCTAGCAGTCTGCTCTAGCAGTTCAAGCTCCAGCAGTTCCAGCTCTAGCAGTTCAAGCTCCAGCAGTTCAAACTCCAGCAGTTCAAGCTCAAGCAGTTCCAGCTCTAGCAGTTCAAGCTCATGCAGTTCATGCTTTAGCAGTTCCAGCTCTAGCAGTTCCAGCTCTAGCAGTTCAAGCTCTCTCAGTTCAAGCTCTCCCGGTTCAAGCTTTTGCAGTTCCAGCTCTAGCAATTCCATCTCAACTAGTTCAAGCTCCAGCAGTTCGGCTCTAGCACCACCAGTTCTAGCAGCTTCAGCTCTAGCAGTTCAAGTACAAGCTCCAGCAGTTCGAGCTCTAGCAGTTCCAGCTCAAGCAGTTCCAGCTCTAGCAGTTCAAGCTCTAGCAGTTCAAGCTTAAGTAGTTCAAGCTCCAGCAGTTCCAGCTGTAGCAGTTCCAGCTCTAGCAGTTGCAGCTCTAGCAGTTCAAGCTCTCTCAGTTCAAGCTCTCCCGGTTTCAACTCTAGAAGTTCCAGCTCTAGCAGTTCCAGCTCTTGCAGTTCCAGCTCTTGCAGTTCCAGCTCTCTCAGTTCAAGCTCTCCCGGTTCCAGCTCTAGCAGTTTCAGCTCTAGAAGTTCCACCTCTAGCAGCTCCACCTCTAACAGTTCACGCTTTGGCAGTTCCAGCTCTAGCAGTTCAAGCTCTAGCAGTTCAAGCTCTAGCAGTTCAAGCTCTAGCAGTTCAAGCCAGCAGTTCTAGCTCTGGCAGTTCAGCTCTAGCAGTTCAAGCTCTAGCAGTTCACCTCTGGCGTTTCTAGCTCAGCAGTTCAGCTGTAGCAGTTCAAGCTCTAGCAGTTCCAGCTCAAGTAGTTCAAGCTGTATCAGCTCAGCTCTAGCCGTTCAAGCCCAGCAGTTCAAGCTATTTCAGTTACAGCTCTAGCAGTTCAGCTCTAGCAGTTCAAGCTCTAGCAGTTCAAGCTCTAGCAGTTCAGCTCTAGCAGTTCAAGCTCACTCAGTTCAGCTCTAGTAGTTCCAGCTCATGCAGTTCAGCTCTAGCAGTTCAAGCTCTATCAGTTCCAGCTCTAGCAGTTCAGCTCTAGCAGTACAAGCTCTAGCAGTTCAAGCTCTAGCAGTTCAAGCTCACTCGGTTCCAGCTCTAGTAGTTCCAGCTCAAGCAGTTCAACGTCTAGCAGTTCAAGCTCTAGAAGTTCCAGCTCTACCTGCTCAAGCTCTAGCTGTTCAGCTGTAGCAGCTCAAGCTCTAGCATTTCTAGCTCTAGCAGTTCAAGCTCCAGCAGTTCAAGCTCCAGCAGTTCAAGCTCCAGCAGTTCAGCTCTAAGTGCTCAAGCTATGGCAGTTCAAGTTCTAGCATCTCCAGCTCTAGCAAGCTCTAGCAGTTCAATCTCCAGGAGTTCCAGCTTTAGCAGTTCCAGCTCTAGCAGTTCAAGCTCTCTGCAGTTCAGGCTCTAGCTGCTCAAGCTTTACTAGTTCCAGCTCTAGCGGTTCCAGCTCTAGCAGTTCCTGTTCTGGCAGTTCCTGCTCTAGCAGTTCCAGCTCTAGCAGATCCAGCTCTAGCAGATCCAGCTCTAGCAGTTCAAGCTTTGGCAGTTCCAGCTCTAGCAGCTCCAGCTCTAGCAGTTCAAGCTCAAGCAATTCAAGCTCTAGCAGTTCAAGCTCTAGCAGTTCAAGCTCCAGCAGTTCAGCTCTAGCAGTTCAAGCTCTAGCAGTTCCAGCTCAAGTATTTCAAGCTCTGGCAGTTCAAGCTCTAGCAGTTCAAGCTCCAACAGTTCCAGCTCTAGCAGTTCCAGCTCTAGCAGTTCAGCTCTAGCAGTTCAAGCTCTAGCAGTTCAAGCCCTAGCAGTTCAAGCTCTAGTAGTTCCAGCTCTAGCAGTTCAAGCTCTATCAGTTCAAGCTCTCCGGTTCCAGCTCTAGCAGTTCAGCTCTAGCAGTTCAAGCTCTTGCAGTTCAAGCTCCAGCAGTTCAAGCTTTGGCAGTTCCACCTCTTGCAGCTCCAGCTCTATCAGTTCAAGCAAGCAGTTCCAGCTCTAGCAGTTCAAGCTCATGCAGTTCATGCTCTAGCAGTTCCAGCTCTAGCAGTTCCATCTCAAGTAGTTCAAGCTCCGGCACTTCCAGCTCTATGCCTTTCAGCTCTAGCAGCTACAGCTCTAGCAGTTCAAGCTCTAGCAGTTCAGCTCTAGCAGTTCAAGCTCTAGCAGTTCAAGCTCCAGCAGTTCCAGCTCTAGCAGTTCAAGCTCAAGTAGTTCTCGCTCCAGCAGTTCCAGCTCTAGCAGTTGCAGCTCTAGCAGTTCCAGCTCTAGCAGTTCAAGCTCTCAGTTCAAGCTCTCCAGTTCCAGCTCTAGCAGTTCAGCTCTAGCAGTTCAAGCTCTTCAGTTCAAGCTCCATCAGTTCCAAGCTCTCTCAGTTCAAGCTCTTCCGGTTTGCAGCTCTAGCAGTTCTAGCTCTAACAGTTCCAGCTCTAGTAGTTCAAGCTCTCTCAGTTCAAGCTCTCCCGGTCCCAGCTCTAGCAGTTCCAGCTCTAGCAGTTCAAGCTCTCTCAGTTCAAGCTCTCCCGGTTCCAGCTCTAGCAGTTCCACCTCTAGAAGTTCCACCTCTAGCAGTTCCACCTCTAACAGTTCACGCATTGGCAGTTCAGCTCTAGCAGTTCAAGCTCTAGCAGTTCAAGCTCTAGCAGTTCAAGCTCCAGCAGTTCCAGCTCTAGCAGTTCCAGCTCTAGCAGTTCAGCTCAAGCAGTTCAAGCTCTAGCAGTTCCACCTCTAGCGTTTCCAGCTCTAGCAGTTCAAGCTCTGAGTTCAAGCTCTAGCAGTTCAAGCTCAAGTAGTTCAAGCTCTAGCAGCTCAAGTTCTAGCAGTTCAAGCTCTAGCAGTTCAAGCTCTAGCAGTTCAAGCTATAGCAGTTCAGCTCTAGCATTTCAAGCTCTAGCAGTTCAAGCTCTAGCAGTTCAAGCTCACTCAGTTCAGCTCTAGCAGTTCAAGCTCAAGCAGTTCAAGCTTTAGCGTTTCAAGCTGCACCACTTCCAGCTCTAGCATTTCAAGCTCAAGCAGTTCCAGCTCTACCTGCTCAAGCTCTGGCAGTTCAGCTCTAGCAGTTCAATCTGTAGCAGTTCCAGCTCTAGCATCAGCTCTGCAGTTCAATCTCCAGCAGTTCAAGCTCTAGCAGTTCCAGCTCTAGGTTCAGCTCTCTCAGTTCAAGCTCTTGTGTTCCAAGCTCTAGCAGTTCAAGCTCCTAGCAGTTCAAGCTCTAGCAGTTCCAGCTCCTAGGAGTTCAAGCTCTCTCAGTTCAAGCTCTCCGGTTCAGCTCTAGTAGTTCCAGCTCTAGCAGTTCAAGCTCTAGCAGTTCAGCTCTAGCAGTTCAGCTTTGGCAGTTCCAGCTCTGGCAGTTCAGCTCTAGCAGTTCAAGCTCACTCAGTTCCAGCTCTAGTAGTTCAGCTCAAGCAGTTCAACCTCTAGCAGTTCAGCTCTAGCAGTTCCAGCTCTAGCAGTTCAAGCTCTCTCAGTTCAAGCTCTCGCGGTTCAAGCTCTAGCAGTTCCAGCTCCTAGCAGTTCCATCTCAAGTAGTTCAAGCTCCGTTCAGCTCTAGCAGTTCCAGCTCTAGCAGCTACAGCTCTAGCAGTTCAAGCTCTAGCTGTTCAAGCTCCAGCAGTTCAGCTCTACCAGTTCCAGCTCTGCTGGTTCCAGCTCCTAGCAGTTCCAGCTCTAGCAGTTCCAGCTCTAGCAGTTCAAGCTCAAGTAGTTCAGCTCCAGCAGTTCAGCTCTAGCAGTTGCAGCTCACAGTTCAGCTCTAGCAGTTCAACCTCTCAGTTCAAGCTCTCCCGGTTCCAGCTCTAGCAGTTCAGCTCTAGCAGTTCAAGCTCTAGCAGTTCAAGCTCTATCAGTTCAAGCTCCGGTTCCAGCTCAGCAGTTCAGCTCTGGTAGTTCAGCTCTAGCAGTTCAAGCTCTATCAGTTCAAGCTCTTCAGTTCAAGCTCTAGCAGTTCAAGCTCTAGCAGTTCAAGCTCTAGCAGTTCCAGCTCTAGCAGTTCCAGCTCTAGCATTTCTAGCAGTTCCAGCTCTAGCAGTTCAAGCTCTAACTGTTCCACCTCTAGCGTTTCCAGCTCTAGCAGTTCAAGCTCTAGCAGTTCAAGCTCTAGCAGTTCCAGCTCTAAGTAGTTCAAGCTCTAGAGTTCAGCTCTAGCAGTTCAAGCTCTCTAGCAGTTCAAGCTCAGCAGTTCAAGCTCTAGCAGTTCCAGCTCTAGCAGTTCAGCTCTAGCAGTTCAAGCTCTAGCAGTTCAGCTTTTGCTCTGAGTTCAGCTCAAGCAGTTCCAGCTCTAGTTCGCTCTAGCAGTTCCAGCTCTAGCTGTTCAAGCTCTGGCAGTTCCACTCTCAGCTCAGCTCTAGCAGTTCCAGCTCTAGCTGTTCAAGCTCTAGCAGTTCCAGCTCTAGCAGTTCAAGCTCTAGCAGTTCAGCTCTAGCAGTTCAAGCTCTAGCAGTTCAATCTCCAGCAGTTCAGCTCTAGCAGTTCAAGCTCTAGCAGTTCCAAGCTCTACCCAGTTCAAGCTCTCCAGCAGTTCAAGCTCTAGCAGTTCAAGCTCTAGCAGTTCCAGCTCTTGCAGTTCAGCTCTAGCAGTTCAAGCTCTGTAGTTCAGCTGCCGGTTCCAGCTCTAGCAGTTCTAGCTCTCCTGTGGTTCCAGCTCTAGCAGTTCAAGCTCTAGCAGTTCAAGCTCTAGCAGTTCAAGCTCCAGCAGTTCAGCTCTTCAGTTCAAGCTCAGCGGTTCCAGCTCTGCAGTTCCCAGCTCTAGCAGTTCCAGCTCTAGCAGTTCAGCTCTAGCAGTTCAAGCTCTAGCAGTTCAAGCTCCTCGGTTCCAGCTCTGGTAGTTCAGCTCATAGCAGTTCAAGCTCTAGCGTTCAACCTCTAGCAGTTCCGCTCTAGCTGTTCAAGCTTTGCAGTTGCAAGCTCTAGCAGTTCAAGCTCTAGCAGTTCAAGCTCTATCAGTTCAGCTCTAGGTTCAGCTCTAGCAGTTCAGCTCTAGCAGTTCCATCTCTTGCAGTTCAAGCTCTGGCAGTTCCGCTCTGGCAGTTCCAGCTCTAGCAGGTTCAAGCTCTCTCAGTTCAAGCTCTAGCGGTTCCAGCTGCAGCAGTTCAAGCTCTAGCAGTTCCAGCTCTAGTAGTTCAAGCTCTGGCAGTTCGCCTAGCACGTCCAGCTCTAGCAGCTTCAGCTCCTAGCAGTTCAAGCTCTGGCAGTTCAAGCTCCTGCAGTTCCAGCTCTAGCAGTTCCAGCTCTAGCAGTTCCAGCTCTGGCAGTTCAAGCTCTCGCAGTTCAAGCTCCTGCAGTTCGCTCTAGCAGTTCAAGCTCTATCAGTTCCAGCTCTAGTGGTTCCAGCTCATGCAGTTCAAGCTCTATCAGTTCAAGCTCTAGCGGTTCCAGCTCTAGCAGTTCTAGCTCTAGCAGTTCAAGCTCTGAGTTCAAGCTCTATCAGTTCAAGCTCCTCCGGTTCAGCTCTAGCAGTTCCAGCTCTAGCAGTTCAGCTCCTAGCAGTTCAAGCTCTAGAGTTCAGCTCTGGTCAGTTCTAGCAGTTCCAGCTCTAGAGTTCCAGCTCTAGCAGTTCAAACTCTAACAGTTCAAGCTCCAGCAGTTCAAGCTCTAGCAGTTCAGCTCTAGCAGTTCCAGCTCTAAGTGTTCAAGCTTTGGCAGTTCAAGCTCTAGCATTTCCAGCTCTAGCTGTTCAAGCTCTAGCAGTTCAAGCTCTAGCAGTTCAGCTCTAGCAGTTCCAGCTCTAGCAGGTTCAAGCTCTAGCAGTTCAGCTCTAGCAGTTCAAGCTTTAGCAGTTCATCTAGCAGTTCCAGCTCTAGCAGTTCCAGCTCTGGCAGTTCAAGCTCTAGCAGTTCAGCTCTATCAGTTCCAGCTCTAGCAGTTCAAGCTAGCAGTTCCAGCTCTAGCAGTTCCAGCTCTAGCAGTTCAAGCTCATGCAGTTCATGCTCTAGCAGTTCAGCTCCTAGCAGTTCCATCTCAATGGTTCAAGCTCCAGCAGTTCCAGCTCTAGCAGTTCCAGCTCTAGCAGTTCCAGCTCTAGCAGTTCAAGCTCTAGCAGTTCAAGCTGCAGCAGTTCAGCTCTAGCAGTTCCAGCTCTAGCAGTTCCAGCTCTAGCAGTTCCACCTCTAGCAGTTCAAGCTTTGGCAGTTCAAGCTCTAGCAGTTCAGCTCTAGCAGTTCAGCTCAAGGTTCAAGCTCTAGCAGTTCCAGCTCCTGCAGTTCCAGCTCTAGCAGTTCCAGCTCTAGCAGTTCAAGCTCTCTCAGTTCAAGCTCTCCCGGTTCCAGCTCTAGCAGTTCCAGCTCTTGCAGTTCCAGCTCTTCCAGTTCAGCTCCATCAGTTCAAGCTCTCTCAGTTCAAGCTCTTGGTTCCAGCTCTAGCAGTTCTGGCTCTAGTAGTTCAAGCTCTCTCAGTTCAGCTCTGGTCCCAGCTCTGGCAGTTCCAGCTCTAGCAGTTCAAGCTCTCTCAGTTCAAGCTCCTAGCAGTTCAAGCTCCAGCAGTTCCAGCTCTAGCAGTTCCAGCTCTAGCAGTTCCAGCTCAAGCTGTTCAAGCTCTAGCAGTTCCTCTGGCGTTTCCAGCTCTGGCGTTTCAAGCTCTAGCAGTTCAAGCTCAAGTAGCTCCAGCTCTAGCAGTTCAAGCTCTAGCAGTTCTAGCTCTAGCAGTTCAAGCTCTAGCGGTTCAGTTCTAGCAGTTCAAGCTCTGGCAGTTCAAGTTCACTCAGTTCCAGCTCTAGCAGTTCTAAGCTCAAGCAGTTCAAGCTTTGGCTACTCAAGCCTGTTGCCACTTCCAGCTCTAGCATTTCAGCTCAAACAGTTCAGCTCTGGCTGCTCAAGCTCTATCAGTTCCAGCTCTAGCAGTTCAATTTGTAGCAGTTCCAGCTCTAAGCCGATCAAGCTCTAGCAGTTCAATCTCCAGCAGTTCAAGCTCTAGCAGTTCCAGCTGTAGCAGTTCAATCTGTAGCAGTTCAGCTCTAGCTGCTCAAGCTCTAGCAGTTCCAGCTTTAGCAGTTCAAGCTCTATTAATTCAAGCTCCAGCAGTTCCAGCTCTAGCTGTTCAAGCTCTAGCAGCTCAGCTCTAGCAGCTCAGCTCCAGCAGATCCAGCTCTAGCAGATCCAGCTCTGGCTGTTCAAGCTCTGGCAGTTCAAGCTCAGCAGTTCCTGCTCTAGCAGCTCAAGATCGAGCAGTTCAGTTCTTGCAGTTTGCTCTAGCAGTTCCAGCTCTTGTAGTTCAGCTCTAGCAGTTCAAGCTCTATCGAATTCAGCTCTGGCAGTTCAAGTTCAAGCAGGTCAGCCTAACAGTTCAAGCTCTATAAGTTCCAGGCTCTATCGGTTCAGCTCTGGTAGTACAAGCTCTAGCAATTCGAGCTCGAGTAGTTCAAGCTCTGGTAGTTCAGCTATAGCAGTTCAAGCTCTAGCAGTTCAAAGCTCAATTAGTTCAAACACTAGTATTCAAGCTCAAGTGGTTCAAGCTCTAGCAACGCAAGTAATGCCTTAACTCAATGCCTTTTATATTCATGTTTCACATGTAACGTAAGAAATATCGAAGTGTTATTTAGACATCGTGTATCTGGAAATTTTTTATCAGCAATACGTAACTA